CAAAACCAGCCCAAAAACCCGACCCAAAACCAGCCCCAAAACCCGGCCCCAAAACCCGACCCCAAAACCCGGCCCCAAAACCAGCCCCAAAACCCGGCCCCAAAACCCGGCCCCAAAACCGGCCCCAAAACCTGACCCCAAAACCAGCCCCAAAACCGGCCCCAAAACAGGACCCAAAACCCGACCACAAAACCCGGCCCCAAAACCCGGCCCGAAAAACCGGCCCCAAAACCAGCCCCAAAACCAGCCCCAAAACCGGCCCCAAAACCGGCCCCTAAACTCGGCCCCAAAACCCAGCCCAAAACTAGCCCAAAAACCGGCCACCCCAAACCGGCCCCAAACCCGGCCCCAAAACCCGGCCCCACCCTCCGACTCTGTCCTGGCCCCCCACCTGGAACCCCAAACCCCGTCCCGGCCACCCCAAATCCCAACCCGGTCACCCCAATCCCCATCCTGGCCACCCCAAACCCCGTCCTGGCCACACCAAACCCTGTCCAGATCACTCCAAACCCCATCCTGGCCCGCTCAGATCACCCCAAACCCCGTCCTGACCCCTCTGCCACCCCCAAACCCCATCCTGGCCACCCCAAACTCAGTCCTGGCCACCCCAAATTCCATCCTGGCCACCCCCCGCCACCCCAAACCCCATCCCAGTCACCCCAAACCCCATCCTGGCCACCACAAACTCCCTCCTGATAACCCCAATCCCCGTTCTGACCCCCTCTGCCACCCCTAAACCCCGTCCTGGCCACCCCAAACCCTGTCCTGATCCCTCTGCCACCCCAAAATCCGTCTTGGCCACTCCAAACTCCATCCCAGCCACCCCAAACTCCATCCTGATCCCTCTGCCACCCCCAAACCCCATCCTGACCACCCCAATCCCCATCCTGGCCACCCCAAACTCTGTCCTGGCCTCCTCTGCCACCCCCAAACCCCGTCTTGGTCACCCCAAACTCTGTCCTGGCCTCCTCTGCCACCCCCAAACCCCGTCTTGGTCACCTCAAACTCTGTCCTGGCCTCCTCTGCCACCCCCAAACCCCGTCTTGGTCACCTCAAACTCTGTCCTGGTCACCCCAAACTCTGTCCTGACCTCCTCTGCCATCCCAAATCCCATTCTGGCCACCCCAAATCCCATCCTGGCCACCCCAAACTCCACCCTGGCCACCCCAAACTCTGTCCTGGCCACCCCAAACTCTGTCCTGACCTCCTCTGCCACCCCAAATCCCACCCTGGCCACCCCAAACCCCGTCCCGGCCACCCCAAACTCCACCCTGGCCACCCCAAACCCTGTCCTGGCCACCCCAAACTCCACCCTGGCCACCCCAAACTCTGTCCTGACCTCCTCTGCCACCCCAAATCCCATCCTGACCACCCCAAACCCCGTCCCGGCCACCCCAGCCCGTCCCGCTCCTTCCCGGCTCTGCTTTGGGGTTAAACCCGGCCTGGAGCCCAATTTCCAGCCTCAGCTCGGCCTAAACCTCCGCGCTTTGGGGTTTTCTGCCTTTCCATCCTCAAATCACCCCAATCCCCCTCCAAATTCATTTCAAAAGGGGGCAGTGTGCGGAGGGGAAAAAAAAAAACTATTAAAAAAATTTCTTCCCGGGGTGTCAAATTGCGCCCGACTTCGGCAAAGACATCTCGCTCCTTCCCAAAAAACGCCAATTCCCGGAGTTTTCGGGGGGGAAAGGCCGGCCCCGCCGCATTCCTGCGGCCGTAATTGAATTATTTGCCGGGATGGGGAGGAAGGAGCCTGGGAATAAAGGTGAGAAGGAAAGATTCCTGCTCCGGCGGCGCTGGGGAGGCGGAGCGCCGGAGCCCGAGCGCTCCGTCCCCGCCGCTCCCGGGCCGCGCGTCAAACGCCGCCGCCGTTCTCCCTCCTGCCCCCGCCCGTTCTGATGGAAT